GGCGGGGCGGAGCGGCGGTGGGGGGCTCCGACCCCAGGGCAGAGGCGCCTGCCTGCCAGGAAACTTCACAGTGAGGTCGAAAGATACCGAAAACACACAAGCACGCCCGCCCCCTTTCCCCCGCCTGCATCGCCTACGCGGTGCGCAGACTTTGCGCTTGGGTTTCCTTGCTGTGTGCAGCGCCCCCCAAGCCTGCGGGCCGCCAGTCGACGGGAAATGCCCGTGGCCTAGGGCAGGACCCGGCTCCGTGCCCCGAGAGAAGATCCCCGGGGACGCGGCGGCGGCGGCGGCGGCTGCCGCTCGGGGCTCGGGCCCAGAAGCGGCTGCCTCCGCGTCCCGCTGTGCGCGGGCTCCCAGTCTGGGCCCAGTACGTAGGGCCGGCAGGCTCCCTGCCAATAGCCCCAGCGCCCAGGAGGCGGCTCGGGCGCCGTGGTTAGCCTCCTACCTCCCCCCCACCCCAGTCCTGAAAAGTCAGGTCTAAGGGGCTGCCGACTTCGTCTCTGGGGACGGTGACCCCAGGTCAGAGCAGAAGGTTGTAGGGAGGCTCCTCCTGGGCGACTGGGGCCCGTTTTCTCGAACTGCTCAGGTGCTTTGTGGTGGACTGGAAATGGACTCCGTCACGTCGGAGCCCGGGTCTCCCACGCCGGGCAGCAGCTCCGGGAGCGCGACCCTGAGCGCGCAGGACGGGCGGGGGGGGGGGCACTTGGCACCCAGTAGCGCCCACCAGGTGGGCCGTGAGTGCAGCGCTCGGGAGCTATAAGGGGTGAGTCGTGGGCAGCACCCCGATCCCTTAGGCAGGAGCTCCTCAGGATCACTTTAAAGCCTCTGCAAACTTTCCCTTGCCTTCCAGATCCCGGCAGGCCTCGGCGCAAGTGGTGGCAGCAGAAACAGGGCTTGTTGATGATGCAAAGCTCCCGGGTAGGCGCTTGGACGCCGGGTGGAGGGGCGTGCATTGGGTAGTGGGGCGCCCTGCCTGGCCGGGGCATTTCTCCCTGTCTCACTCCCCTCGCCCTTGCCACCTCGTACCTACTGTCAGTGAGGTCTCCCGTATCACTCAGGGTGGCCGCGGTGCTGGGAATCCTAGGTCCCGGGAGAGAACGGGGAGGGGGAGAACGGGAATAGTGGTGGTGGTGGGGGCAAGGGTCTTAAGGGGGGCGGCTGATGGCGGGGGAGGGGGGATTTCCCCCTCGGCCCCACTCGGCCGCCAGCGCGTCTTTAACATTCTCTCCCGAGGCGGAGCTGAAACGAAAACAAACAACGCTTTGAGCAATCAGTTCGCCAACGTTAGAGCTTTAAAGAGTCTTTGCCTTGAAAGCGGGTACCCCGGGGGTCTCGGCGGGGAGATGGGGGGGGGCATTTTAGGGCCTTGGTTCTGGCTGCCTCGCCCCGGAGTCGCCCCTCCGCGCGCTGCCTCCTGCCGGCCCAGAGCGCTCTGCCCACAGTGGGGAAACCGGAGCGATGAAGCCCTGGAGAAAAGGGATTTAGTTTTAACCCAGTCTCCCATCGATCGGGTCGGTAATTCTTACCCCTGCCCACTTGCAGACACACTCACCTCTACCCTAAAGCATTAAGTTCATTACTCGAGCAATGATCTTAATCTGCAGGCGGAAAACGAGTCCCGGGACCTTGCAGACTGGGAGCAGTGAATAAAGTCACCTGCTAAATGTACCGGCCCCGCAGGCTGCTCTGGGAGGGAGCCTCGGGTGGCGGGGCCCGCGGCGCCAGGGTCCTTCGTTCCGCGCTCAGGCATGCCCCGCAAGG